ATGAGCCCCTGACCCCCCCGCACTCCCCCACCCCCCCTCCCACGCCTGCACTGCCCATCCCAGCTCCGGCCCTTTAAGCAAAAAAAAAACCTGAGAAAATCCCCAGGTCTCATCACTCCTGCAATGGCCTTGGGGCTTCGGGGGGCTCGTGGAAGAGCCCCCCCACTTGGCATGGGGCAGTGGGGGAAAGCGGGGGAACAGGCAGGGGATTAACCGGCAGAAATAGTGAGTCCGGGGATTTCTTGTTTTTTTTTCCCTTAAAGGGCTGGAGATGCAGTGGGCGAGGCAGCCATGGTGGGGCTTGGAAAGTGGGCGGGGGTTGTGGGGCTTGTGGAAGAGCCCCCCATGCAGCACAAGGCAGTGGGGGGGGGCAGTGGGGATCTCCCCCTGCCTGGCACCAGCTGGTGAGTGGGGCGCTTTTTTTCCCTAAGTGACGGGAGCTGGGGTGGGCCAGGCAGCCATTGCCAGGCTGGGAGAGCGGGTGGGGGATGGGCCTGGCCTGCGTGATTCAGAGATTTGGAGATTCAGCTGCAGCCAAATCTCCAAATCAGATTCAGCCGAATCGATTCGGGACAGTGATTTGAATCACCGAATCGAATCACTGTCCCCCAAATTGGCCAAATCCGAATCCAAGTGAATACCAGCTGCTTCGCACAGGCCTAATATTCACTGCCATGATTTGAATATAATTCTTGCATGTGCATGATACACAAGGTACTAACTGTGCAGTAGCTGAAATATATTGCTCAGTAGCGCAGCACAGCAGGGACACTGTTAATACGCTACTGCGCAGTATTATTTGGCTACTGTGCAGTAGCATCACTTAAAAGATGTTTGCTGGCCCTACTGCACAGTAACTCTGGTTACTGTGCATTTATTTAGTGCTTGCTATTACACGAACTAAAAAAATGTGCAATAATGACTGTGCAATAGACGTGCCCAGTTTAATTGAAGTAGTAAAAAACCAAAAAGGTTAAAAAAAAAAAAAAAAGTTAAAATACCACTCTAAAATCTCATGAAGGTTATGTCACTAGGTGAGCTCAGTTGCTATGAACTAGAAAATACCAGTATTTTCCAAATGTAGTAATCGAATAATTTTCAATGGAATGATTTCGCATTATAGCAGAGTATCACCGCTGCTAGAGACAAGGCTGAACATCTCTTTCATTTTAATGGCAGACTCTCAAATGCTGTAAAACCCACATGCTGACTTGGATTGTCCTGAAATCTTCTCTGTTGAGTAGTGTTAGTGGTCTAAATAGGGGTCATGTGAGCAAGGAGCTCTCGTGAGACAGCTTTCCCCAAACTCCCTTCCCCACAGATTTTACAGTCATCTTTTTTCCTTAACTCCCTTTGCACACACCTGAGGCCCTGTCTCTGTACCCAGTTGTTTCTAACTGATCTCAGTTGCTTGGCATTTTTCTCAGCTGGAGCCTGGCACCTGCTACCCCCTCTGGAAGCAATATTTAACAAATTATTGACCTTAGAGCCGTGATTCTCAACAAGGGTACCAGAGCACCCTGGGGTACCATCAGACTTTTTGACGGGTCCTGCAAGGTATGAGGCAATAAGGGAGTGAGAGAGTACCATAAACTCAGCTGGGAGGGGGAAGAGCAGGGTTCTGGTCCCAGATCTTTTTACACACTTTATCTAAGAACTATTAAACAAAATGCATAAGCAACCCTGTGATCAGGGCCTAAGACTTCACCCAAAGCAAGCCCCACATTGCAAAATTAAAGAGCCAGGCTCTTGCTTGTGCTCTCTCATTTTGGCCCCAGGAATCTTGCATTCTTGGTTGTACAGTGACACAGCTTCAATGGGAAGGAAGGATAGTGTCCCTATGGGGATGGGAACTAGGGCACTCTCCTTGGGGTGGGAGATGTGGGTTTGTCCTCTCAAACTGAATTGGACATGTCGCCCTGATCTTCTACTTCCTGGGTGCGTACTCAAGGCTAACCACTAGGCTATTACATAAAAATTATATTTAAGGGTAGCACCTCCTCCTGCCAGTTGTTTGCATCCAAAGGCGTGAGGTAGACTAAGACAAGAGTTTCTCAAGCCATGGGTTGTGACCCAAAAGTGGGTTGCAAAATATACAATAGGGTCATAAACAAACTTTTAAAATGGATTCTCCTTTAAAGGAGAAAAATGTGGGAATCTGTGACTTTTCCCTTGTGGGCTGACAGAGTTCCAGCCTTCATGGGGCTGCTTGGGGCCTCCCCTACCCCACACATCCACCCCTTGCCTCATACGCTTGGGGGCTGGGGCCTGGGGTTGGGGGGAAGCGGGTTGAGAATGAGGGGCACTGGGTCGGGACTGGCCATCGATGTTTACAAATGGGTCTTGGTACAAAAAAGGTTGAGGACCACTGGATTAAGGAATAAATCCAGACCAAGTTTTCAAGCTGTGAAACCCCATCTCACATATACACTTGAGCTCATGAGAGACTTAGCATTTCCTATGGCTAATTAGGCTTCCGAACTGCCATGCTGTCCTTGTGGTCCAGCTCTTCCTATGCACTGTATAGGGAACATAAGGGACTGAGCTGGGGTGGTGAATGCTACTCCAGCAACATGGGCGACTGGTGCCTCCTGAGTCTGGCGGGGGCAGCAGCGGCCAATCGCCGACCAGGGGGTGGGGCCCAGCAGCTGATCGCTGACCAGGGGTGGCGGGGTGGGGTTCCCCAGCAGATGATCACTGAGCCCGGAAGTGCCACCGGTGCTTCTCTAGGTGCCCCCGCTCCCTGGCCGGCGCCAATCTCAGAGAGGGCACTGGCCAGCGCTTCTCTCGGTGCCCCCACACCCTGGCTGGCAAGGGCCAATCTCAGCAGGGGGCATGTGCCTCCTTCTCTGCCCCCCCATGTCCTCCCTATGTATTGCCTATGTCCAGAATCCTACAAGTTAAGTGTAGTAGTGCTGAGCATTGCTATGTCTCAGATCTGCCCCGTAGGAACTATTTCCCTAATCCGCTGTATATTCTTAAAAATGTCAGGGCATTTATTCCCTGCATTCAGATTTATATTTTGGCTGGTAATACAAGAAATGGGATTTCATTTGAACTAATATCTGTACTTTTTACTTTACAAAACAAATGGTGACTGGATCACAATGCAAGAGACTTTGTGGGTTGAAAACCCAAGGTAACAAAGGACTTTTTAACCAAGCAGAGACAGGCATAATGAGAACCGCAGCCTTCAAGTTAAAGCCAGGTACCATATTTCCTCGAACAGAAGGCAACACTGATTATAAGGCAATCCCTCAATCATTGGATTCTATATACGGAAACTTTTAAAAAGTGATATAATTTTCCAGGTATAGAATCTAGTTAGTGCAGGTTTGTCTTGAGCTTATTCTCTTCCCATTGCTACAGCAGGGAAAATAAATCTGGGGGTGAGGTAGCCCCTTTGCTCTCTACTTCCCCCCAAGTTTTTCCCCTGGCAGCCCCTTTCCCCTTTCCTTACTGTCAGACCTTGCTCTCTCTGGGGACACAGAAGTGTGAAGCAAATTGAAAACAACAACCTTGAAATTAAACATGGCTGTAGCAATTTGCATATAGTAGTCATACACTTAGTTCATCTGGAATTGATACATGTTACCTTTTCTGAAACTGCTGCAAGTTTTAGCACAGGTACTCCATATCAACTTGTGTGCAAGTATCAACTTGCGTGCAATTTTTTTTATTTTTAAGGAAAAACTTTTGTGTCCCAGGTCAAATTAGCCAGATCACTTCCAAATCCTTTGAATCATTCAAGAACCATATGTGGCCCTACAACTGGCAAGTATCCTCCACCCTAGACTTTTCAGTCTGGGGCTTCAGATACTTCCAAATCTTTTAGCAGGCATCCTATGTGTAGGCCCAAGCCCAGAGGCCTAGTTTTCAGATGCCCCCAAGTTTTGCTTGCCCTCAGCCATATGGCTGCAGAAGCAAGCTAGGAAGGAATCTCCCATTTCCATAAAGTTGGTGTGTAGCCAAGCTCCTCCCACTGGAAGCTGGCCAGTGGGAAGATAACTATGAGGCCCTTGTAGGGAGTCCTGTCCACATGCAGACAAGGGTGCACCCTCCACTACACAGTGCTATTTTAATTGCATTACCTTGGTGCTATGCATGATATTAGTTCAAAGTCAAAAGGCTCATGATTTACCATACAGTTAATTGGGCTGGACCCCATCAACAGCATTTCAAGTCAAGGTGACCTCACAGCTCAGCATTGTATAACCCCACAGCTCAGTATGTGTGTGTACTCCAGATACCCCCTCCTCAAAGGATCTATGTTCTAATTAGCCATCACTCATGAGTGGAACCAGGTGTTCTTGTTACAAGTTATGGGATCCTCCAAAAAATTATATGTAGATGAGGAGCAGGGCAACCTGGTCCAGCTTCACCTCATGAAGTATGGGACCAGAACTGTTTGGAACTCCATTTGGTGATGCTTGCCAAGTATTTAAGGCTGGTGAAGAAACAGGAATCACTGGAAAAGGGAAAGAAAGGCACAGCTCAGCTGTGGGTATGAAGATGAAGTAAAAATGTATGCAATGCAGTGGCTCGTCATGACTTGAAAAAGAGTAGGTGGTGAGGGA